GAATGTGGATCAATTTCACCTTACAAAATTAAGTCCCGGTCCACACTGCGCCTGAGAAATTTGAAAACAGAGCTCTATTTCTACGGTTAGGCCTACCGTCTACACTAATCCGTCAGCTTTTCGAAAACGCTCTTCAAACCGGAGGAATTTGAAAACGGCGGCTTTGTGTTTTAGTGTGGATGTAAAACATTTTAAAAAGGCACTTTTTGAAAATGATGACGCCACAATAATCATGTGATTTCTCTACCCGAGGTTTTCCTCAAACACAGATCCAAAATGACGGGTGATTGTTGCTTTTGCAAATTCCTCCGGCGTAGTGTAGAAAGAACCTAAAGCACATCTCATGACTTTTATTTAGCAACAAAATTATTATTTCATTGGTATGGCAATTTGCGACGACCACATTATTAAAAATTTTATATTTCTCACCAGCGCAATAAGCGATTGCGCAATAGTAGGTTGGCCTAAGATAGTAAACGTAGTAATCGCCACAGTTTTTGACATTTATGTCGAAGGTGTCGTCGCAGACGAAGCCAAAACTGTTGATGCATACTTGGCGAACAACATTTCCTTCTGCTACTGTTGGATGGCGACCGTTTAACCAAATAGGGTCATGTGTTCCGCAGTGATATTCTGGCACTGTCTTTTCTGGCATCATGACTTTTCCGCCAGCATCACTTGTGAAGCGATACCATCCCCATTGCAAGTCGCGATCACACAATGCTGGTTGTCCCGGTTGCCAGACACTCTTGATGCTACGTCGAGGCTCGTTGATCTCTTTGTAAGTTGAGTCGCTGCAACAGTTGTTGCAATTTGCTGCCTGACATACTTGGAAATTCAAGTGGACAGTGATCAAAAAGAAACTCAGACAGGCAAGCTGACTGAAGCTCGCCATGTTACTAAATCACGCTCAACGTGTATAGCTCCTGGTCTAGTTGATTTGATCGAGTTCTGGTTACAAATATATCAAGGGGGAAGAAGGAACGAAGCTTTATAAGATCGTTGCCAGGTAGATTGTGATTGGTGAATTGCTTGCATGACACCATTTTTATGTTCATAATTAATGAGGCATAGCGATGTACATGTTCATTTGTGGTTTGATTGGCCATATTATATTTCCGTCGATGCTGAAGGAAGTTCATAACCGGTTTTCATCGTTAATCATTCAACTTCCCTTTTTGAAATAACGAAAATAAATGCCTTCCGTTAAGCTGCACCGGAAATAAACCGGCCACGTCTAGGCAGTTCTGTTCCTGAATTTTGCATGAGTACGCATCAAGTATATTTGGTGATTTCAAAATAAAACACTTCCTTGGTATTTATACGTGCATTGGCATATGGCAGTGCTTACGATGGATGTCACTGAATGATGGTAATAATACGGGTGGCATGGAGAGGAGAAAACTTCATTTACTCGTCATTCCCTAGTACCCTTGAGGTACTGTCTGCCACTAAGGCAAAATAATATTTTCTCTTCTTAGATCGTACTCAATCTTAACTATTTTGAGGCCAATGGCTTTTGATTACTGTCATCTAACAAAACGCCTTACAGTTTTGTACTGACATTAATGTGCGATAATTAAATTGGTTTGAAAATCAAAGTTTATTACCAGATGCAGTCTATTGAACATAAAGTATACGAGACCTAGTTTTCAATGAGCAAATCGTTAACGAGGCACATAAGTACTCAGCTCACGAGGAGAGGGCTTATAAAAATGTAAATCACCTAAATTCAAAGAATCTGTAATGCATACATGCGAACACGCAACCATACCTCAATGGAGGAATAGTTGTGTGCCTTATACTTGAAATGGCATATGCAAATTCTATCGCCACTAATCAGAATTTTTTCCCCTCGCTCCTAATTCTCATGATTAATGCCCATAAGATCGCTATGAAAGTCGCTGAAGACAAAAGCTGTATCTGTTATCAACTGTTCCGCGATGGTAGCGACAGTGGTCGTTGTTGTCGCAACTATCGATCGGTGAGATAAACTTCGATTCAGTTTTGATGCTCGTGATGAATGATGATCGTTGTGAACCGCTCAAAAGAGATTGTGGTGATCGTTACAATGATAAATACACTGAAAATGCGCTGTTTCCACACAGGATCCAGGTCCTCTTGCGCACTCTTTTCTCGTGATTTCTCTGGCGATCGCATAGCTGTCATATGGTAAGTGGATAGCGAACGAACCAAGTTGCAAGTACATACATTTCATGTACTCACCTTTTACTAAAGCGATCGCAATCTCTGTAGCGATCATCTGGAGACCAGCCTCTCTAACAAAGCGAATCTTTAAATCTGAAGAAAGGAGTGATTCACAACAGCTTTAGACGCAAAGGATTCAGTGGTTGTCGGAACAAATAACACGGAATCAAGGAGTTCGCAATTCTTTTTCTTCGAGACATGAAAACCGAAGAAATTAAATGATCACTAGACCGTTAGTCTTTATTTGGATAACTGGAGCATTGTGTCAGTGATTCACAGCATTTTAGGACCTAAAAATCTATCGCCGGATCAGACTCTTATGTCTCTTCAAATTCGAACTATACTCGGAAGTTTGGGAAGAGATACCGACAATCCTACAGGAAGTTGCTTTCGGGGATACTCTATTTGTTACACGAAGTAACCGGTCGTATTTTTGGCACAAACAAATGTTCCTTTTATCGTCTCTTTTATTTGTCTTTGGATCATTAACATCCCAATTAGTATGCATCGCGCGTGTGATAATAGCGCTAGTTGCATAATAATTCACAGTGCGTATATAGTCCTTACCGAAATGATTCCCAGCAGCCCAGCTGGCTACATCGTAATAGTATGTATTGCACTGGGTTAGCTTCAATTTTGTACTCCATTAAATGAACTTAAAACAAACTAGTTATCGTCCCATGGCTTAACGCAGCTAACCAGTCCGATACGTTCCAGTCTGTTTTCAGGGTCATGCATGACAGACAAAGGAGTAAAATGATGTCTGATCAAGTCTTTTCTTGGCTAAACGTAATGAACTAGCAATGGAGTCATTTCAAGGTCCACTAACCGTAGTGCTTTCATAACACGAACTATGCGCTATGTAGGGAAAGGATATCAATAATGGTGCGTTTAGCTGTTTTTGGGCGATGTTGTACTTCTTTTATTTGCATGGCACATTACATTACTAGTCAAACCATATTTGTGACCTAAGAATTTGTTTAACTTTTAACATCTCTTTTGAATGTTTTATTAATTATTAACATCATAAGCATGCATTACGCATATGATGTTGATCACCCTCCTTCCGAGACTTCCTGATGGTAAAGCTATAGGAGCCTCTTTCAACTGACTTCCTGGCTAGTGAGTTCTGTCTCGAGACGAGCTAAAAGCCTACTGACTTAGCCCCCGCAACCACATGATGCGTAAATAACTTCGGAGTAGTGTGGAATACATAAACTTCTCAGCCTTTACTCAGTCAGTCCTTCAATCGGAGTTTCGTTCAACCGTCTCTCGTGATTCTCTAATCTTATAGATTTAAAAAAAATATTGGCGATTGTTTACGAGTAAACAACGCACGTGCTGTAATTTGAGACCAAAATAACTTTGCATAATCGGAACCTTAAAGAGTAGGTGTCACCTCAGGCTGAACCCATTTCAGCCCAATTATTTACTCGTGCACGTACGTTTTTGCAAGACGTGCTTCAAAAGCTTAAAATGACTGATGATTTCCGATTTCCTGGTATCCGTACCGCCCTCTTCAACCTTTTTTTTTTTTTACACTAAGGAGAACTAAAAGATTCTTTTTCAGCAACAAGTTGACTCCGCTCCAGCATTGAGGATCATAATCATTGTAAAATGTCGAACTAAGAGATGCACTAACGAGCGCAATTCTAAATGATCAAACACGATCTGTCAATATCTTTCAGCGTGTGGCTTTTGGATAAGCAAACAGACTTTGAACGGAGTCTTGTCTAACCGTCTCATGAATATGGGTTAACAACGTTTTTGGGAGATTATGTACGTGTACTAAAGTATAAGGAAACGCTGCCGCACGTGCATGCCTCATAATTTCACGGGACTTCCTGTTTTGTAATTTGAGATCAAAATAACTCTCTGCTAGCTAAGTCTCTTTTGCCAATTGTAAACAACACCTTATAAGGTAGAGCTGATGTCTCCGTTTGAACCCTTTTATGCTTCATTACTTTATCGCGCACGTGCAAGCTCTTTGGAAGGCGGACGTGCCTCATTCTTTGAAGCTATCAAGGAAAATGTATTATATAATTGGTGAAAGAGCATAATGCGTGTCGACTTCTCTTTGTCAAAAAGTAATGAGAAATTTAACGACAGAGATCAGTGGATTTTAATTGACACTACTGGGGCTCTGCATGCACGATTATTGTCATTGGCCAATTGTAGTCAATATCAAAAATCTGATCATGTAAAGTTTTGATAGATTATCGTCGTTACGCACACAAAATAAGCAGTCAATTGTGTTAATTGTGCACCTGTTCATGTCTTACCAGCTATCACCAAATCCTCGACCACTTTGGCACAATTTCGTTCTCGTTTGAATGGCGTGGAGTTTGCAGGATGCCAGTGTATGAACTGTGCTTTCTAACTCAAATTTTTAATATTAGGACTAGTTGCTCTTAGGAATATTATATATTTTAATTCTGAATTTATCTTAGCGAATATAGTAATTGTAATTAGTAATGTTATTGTAAATAGTCGTGCGTTGTTGTCATGAGCCCCTGGCTCGGGAGATTAGGCAACCACTCCCCACGTTCACGACTCAAAATAAAGTTACCTTACCTTTAACATTAACCTTATGAACAGAAAAATGGATGCTTTTTTAAAAGCAGTAGAATACACAATCAACTTAGAAGACTCATTACAGATCTCAGTTCGTTTAGTATACTCTTTCCCGCTGTCCAGATAAGGCTAAAAATTACGTTAACTGTGAATCAAGGACAGAAAACCGAAATTTGCTTTGATTGTTTAACTGTAAAATCTATATACACTACACATTGTTCCACGAATTCCGTTGTCAATTTAAAATAAGTTTTGTTCCTACTTTGTCTTACGTTTTTAAAGACTCTCTGTCGACCGGAATGCTTTGCAAGAGTTCGTTTTTGTTTTGATTCTGTCGCTGATGTAAAGCGTTAGAAAAATCGCAAGGATTCGGGGCATTCGGTGGCCTAAAATATAATTTACTGATAAAAACTGGTATAAGATGTTTGCTTAAGTCGCCATTTGGCGTAGAACTACTGTATTTTTGAAATTTAGACTTCGCGTCGCGAGTTGACAAATGTCAGCTTCGCTACAAGTTCGTGCCACCGCACGCNAATGAACTTTTGCATTGGCAACGCTTTGGCAAGGCTCTCCATTTCCAAGACATATTTCCTCACTTTTCAAAGATTTTCCTTCGGCAAACCAGTCTATTATGTAGGTCACATTCTTCCACTTCTCGACGCCATTAAAAATATTGACCTCACACAGCAAGGTTACTTCCACGTCCGGTTCATTTCGGAAAGTAATACTAGGATCTCCAAGGTTGTCACTGGAAAATGCTGTTGGTGGGTCTGTCCAAATTGATACATTATAACAAAACAATATAAATATATTTAACAATTATTCCACCAGCGCCCGTTGGATATGAGATGGTAGATAGCCGACGAGGCGCGTAGCGCCGAATTGGCTGTTATCATCTCATATTCAACGCGCGCGAGTGGGAAAATTGTTTTATTGAAAAACGCCCCCAAAATATAGAAAACTAAAATGGAACAAAAATAAAAACGAATCAAGAAAAAAAAAAATACGCGTACGCTTAACATATTTGTAGAACACTATAATCGCTAACTCTTGAATTGCATTGTCCAATGATCCAGTTTTAATATCAAATATTTCAAGTCAACAAAACATGTCTCGACAGAAACGTCTATCATTGTCAGTTACAATAACTGACGCTAAATTTGAATAATGAAAGTGCACGTCCTCTATGCATGTAAAAACTGATAGTTTTTTCAATTGAAAAACTTGTTCTCTGAATTAGTCTTGCCACTACGTGTGAAGATATCAAGCCTTTTGGATGATAAATGACAAAAACAGACAATGCCCTTTAGTCTCATTTTTTTTATATAAATTTATAAGCGAGTGCGACTTACCATAACAATCTGGGTGCACCCCTTCTTTTCCGTAAGGACATGGTGTCACGTCACCTAAAAGATAGAATGTGGATCAATTTCACCTTACAAAATTAAGTCCCGGTCCACACTGCGCCTGAGAAATTTGAAAAC